ATCTGTTTGAGATACATCCTTCTCACATTGTTTACCAATTTTTTCTAAATAAAAAAAAGAGAGGATATCTTTCATGTGAAATAGGAACGTTTTGTCTTACTTTTAAATGCTGTGGTTGTGTGCCTAGTGGGGCATGACGGCTGAGTCTTCATCAAGTGTGTCTTATGTACTTGCTGTGTGTTTGACTCTAAGCTACCAGCTATGCAAAGAAAGTAAAATGAAAAAAAAAAAAGAAGTCTTGGGAAATGAAATCCTTATTTCCTGCCTAGGGAAGCATGTGTGTTTCTGTGTGTGTGTGTGTGTGTGTGTGTGTGTGTGTGTGTCGGTATGCGAGGGATAAGGATGTGAGCAGATATTAGTTCAACCTGGAACAAGGCTCAGACGACCTGTGACAGGGCGCAGGCTGAAGCAGTTTCTTCCTGTCCGAGGAAGAACATTGTAAGTGTTCTAAGCCAAGTGAGAAGCCAAAACCCAGTAAGAAAGAGGCGACAGGTCTTAAGGCTAAAATTTGCCAGCTGTGTGTGGAGTTGCTTCAGGACGGGGTCTCTTGCAATAAAGGCCAATGTCAAGGACCTGGACATGGAGTCTGAGATGAGTACAGGACAGTAACCTGTGAGTCGGCATCTGAGTGTGGCTTTTGCTACCCGTAGTCAGCTATGCTGGCCATCATTCAGCACAGAAGGGGGTGTCAGCCATTTCAAGAATCCAAAACAGCAGATTCTTGTGCGTGTGTGCGTATGTGTGTGTAAAATTATTTTAGGTTTCAGAGTTATTGCTTTTAAAATATGACTCAAAAACCTTACGAAGATTATGCTAGTCGTGTCTTATTTCTTTTAAAGTCTTTGTCCTCTGCGGTTTCACATTAAGTCAGGTCTAGAGAATTATCACCCAAGATGGGGTTTTGTTTTAGTTATCACCAATGATTTGGTAGAACTCTGAACCGGAAGAGATACATGTCTGACTATTTCTCACAAGTCAGGAAGAAACAATCTCAGCTTTCAAACGTATGGTGCTGAAGATTCTCAAGCTGGGGTACAATATACATTTAATGAGTCACTTATCTTGAGAATGTGCTTTACCTAACAGGTAGAACTGATATTTCAGCATGACATTGTGAAGTGATTTTTTAAAGAGCCTTTAGAGGGGAAGAAATAGAACTGTAAAAAGAAAATGGCACGTATGCATTTGTGCATCCATGAAATAGATGCTTTCAAGTATATTCCTCATGGATGTCAAGCGACTTGATGCTTTCAGCTTTTTAATCTGCCCTCTCATATTACAAATGCATATATCAGAAGGATATTTACTCAAAGGGTGACCAGATTAACGTTGCTAAAAATGACTTTAGTTATCCTAAAGCCACGAGCAAGGATTACATTTCTAAGCTTGTTTATACTCTCTTGTTCTGCTTCTACCAGCAAAATCCCATGATATTATCTTCCCCAGGGACACTGCTGCATTTGGATGGCCATGTGTAAGTTTCAGATTTTCCTGGACTTTTTCCAGCTCCGCTATGATTTCTTGCAGTTCATTAGCTGCTGATATAAGGAAGAATACAAAAAATTATCATGAAAAATTGCTATGGATAATTTCATTAGTGAAACATTCTAGAAAAACGCAATGGTGGTATGGTCTGACACTTTACATTCTAGTAAGGGAGAAGAGAAGCAAAAAACCAAGCATACACATTAACATAGTTAAAGATGTAATAAATACCAGTAAAGAAGTAAGTAGGGGGCTACGATAATGAATTACTGAGGAGTTCTGTTTCAAGAAAGGTGGTTAGGGAGGAGTTCTCAGAGGAGGTGTTTTTATTTTAATTTTTAAAATTTCTATTTATTTATAACGTTTATTTTTGAGAGAGAGAGAGGGAGTGCAAGCAGGGGAGGGGCAGAGAGAGAGGGAAATAGGATCGGAGCTTGATGCAGGGCTCAAACTCACGAACCTTGAGATTGTGACCTGAGCTGAAGTCTGACGCTTAATTGACTGAGTGACCCATATGCTCCCAGAGGAAGTGTTTGAAGTGAATCTTGAAGAATGAGAAGCTGACCATCCTGAGCCTGAGAAGCTGGGAGGTCCTGGTATGCAAGGGGCTCTATCACTTTCTGTTCCTTAGTTCGCAATTTTCATAGCCTGGCTTGGCTGCTCTACTCTACCCAACAGCCTGACTCAGACTTCCTTATGCTCTAGGACTGAGCTCAGGCATCCACAGGCTAGGAGGTTATTCCTGAATCTGTTTCTGTTTTTCTTTTCCAAGATGTGTTAGATCCCCTTTCTTTGCGCTTCCTTAAAAATCCACAAATACCTTTCTTTATTTTTTAATTAAAAAAATTTTTTTATTTATTTCTGAGAGACAGAGACAGACGGTGTGAGCAGGGGAGGGTCAGAGAGAGGGAGACACAGAATCTGAAGCAGGCTCCAGGCTCTGAGCTAGCCGTCAGCACAGAGCCCTACGCGGGGCTCAAACCCACGAACCGTGAGATCATGACCTGAGCCGAAGTTGGACGCTTAACTGACTGAGCCACCCAGGTGCCCCCTACAAATACCTTTCTTAACGAACTTTCATTACTGCACTGAAATTATATGTCCTTATGCCTATACTCTGTCTCATGCCTCTTTATAATCCCAGAAGCTAGCACTTTGCTTCATTAATTGCTGTTGAAAAAATGAGGAGTTATTATTCACTAAAACTGCAAATTATACTTTTGAGCCATGGCATATTAAGGATCCGATAAAATCTTCCACCTGCACCTCTGCCAGCCTCAAGCCATGAATTGTAAAGTACGCTTTTTTTAAAAACTTACCTTTTCTCTCTCATAGTTCTCATTTTTTTGTTTGCTTGGTGAAAGGGATTTTTCTTTTCTTCCATAAGTTAGTTATTTTCTTCATCAGAGTCTACTTATATTGGAAGATGGTAAAAGCAGAATAAAGATTTTTCATTACTCAAGCATTTTTGTTGTCTTTGTAGATCTTTGCAAATGATAGAGAAAGATACTTCAAAAATCAATTATGGTCTCAGAAATTTAAAATTTTTTTAATGTCCATTTATTTCTGAGAGAGAGAGAGAGAGCACATGCGCCCAAGCACAAGTAGGGAGGGGCAGAGAGAGGGGACAGAGGATCCAAAGCGGACTCTGTACTGACAGCAGCAAGGCCAAGGCAGGGCTCGAACCCGCGAACCGCGAGATCATGACCTGAGCCGAAGTTGGATGCTCAACCGACTGAGCCACCCAGGTGTCCATTCTCAGAAATTCTAAAGTGAATTTCTAGGGACTAATATTAATATCATGTCTGCATGTTAGAATATAAATGGAGTGAATTATTAACATAGGGACACAGGAAGGATTCAGATACAGCATTTGACCCAATTAGTAGTGGCCAAAATGAGGTATCAAATCACCCCAGGATCTGGAGGTGAAGTTGAAGGTTTTATTTTATTTTTTATTTTTTTAATATTTTATTTATTTCTGAGAAAGAGAGAGAGACAGAGACAGAGAGAGGGAGAAAGAGAGAGAGACACAGTGTGAGCAGGGGAGGGTCAGAAAGAGAGGGAGATACAGAATCTGAAACAGGCTCCAGGCTCTGAGCTGGCTGTCAGCACAGAGCCCGACGTGGGGCTCGAACCCACAGAACCACGAGATCATGACCTGAGCCGAAGTCGGTTCCTTAACCGACGGAGCCACCCAGGCGCCCCTGAAATTGAAGGTTTTAATTCAAGTGTTGCTATGTGGATATATAAATTTACCCTACCCTATCAGCTTTACGTTAAGTATTACTCACCCACTATCTCCGCGAGAGGCAGAATAATGCATCCCAAAGGTATTCTCCCACTGAATGTCCTAAACCCCAAAAACCTGTTAATAAGTTAAGGCTACATGGCAAAGGGGGACTAAAATTGCAGACAGAATTAAGGTTGCTAATCAGCTGATCTTAAATTAAGTGTGTTCTCCTGGATTATGGGGGTGCGTCTCATGTAATCGCAAAGGTCCTTAAAAGTGGAAGACGGAGAGAGAAGACAGTCAGGGACAGGGATGTAACAAGGAAGAGGAGTCAGAAAGAGACTGTGTTGCTTCCAAGTTGGGGGGAGAGGTCCACAAACGAAGGCATGTTAGCAGCTCTAGAAGCTGCAAAAGGCAAGACACAAATTCTCCCTGAAACCTTCTAGAAAGGATGCCGGTTTGCTAACACCTTGATTTGAGCCCGTGAGACCTGTTTGCCTAACCTTCTGATTCTCCCAGCAGGTATCTCTGCATTGAGTGGTATGTCTTACAACAACATGGGACTCTCTCAGAGTGTGAAGAAGTTTCAAGAATGAGTTCTGGCTGTGAAAAGTCTTTTGTTTCCTCTTCCAGGAGACCAAATAGCAACATAACACCAAAAGCAATATAGAATTCTATAAATTACCTACGACTGCTGTTTCAGGCTTTTTAAAATATAGGTACATGATTAAAACAGTAGCTTACTGCAAACAAGGGGGGGAAAGGTTGGAATAAAGTCATGGCAGTCACTTGAACTCTTTAGCATGAGGGTACGAAACTTGGAGACTGAGAAAGAACTGCAGTGTATCCACTGCGTGTCTTACTTTGCGTAAAGAAGTTCGCTGCAAATAGTTTGGAACCATTTCTCTTCCCAACTCAGAATGAAAATAGCAGAGGAAGAAGAGAATGTGTAAATCACACAGTAGTAACGAAGAGTTAGCATGAAAAGGGAGCTGTTTCTTCTCTGGTGCGGGGGTGGGGGGGTAATGATCTCTGTGGGCCTATTTAGTATTGTCTATAGAATTACATTTCTGGGAGCCAGCTTGCATTCTGATGTTACCTTCCCTGTATCTTGCCGGTGTTCGTTCTTCCACACTCATGATATGTGTCAAACAGTCTCTTTCATATCTTCATATTCCTTTCCTGGTCGTCTGTTCTTTACTGCTTTGGGGACATACTATAGGATGTGCCCACAAACCCCTTACTTCAGAGACACAGGAACTGGGGCAAGACCACCCATTTCTTATTGTGCTGCCATTGGGGACCAGAGGATCAGCTGAGAGCTCTGGACTTCATGCCCCCCACGTGATCGGGCGCAGGTGGCAAAGTCACTGTTCGCCCCAATGGTATTCAACTCCAGCCTCAAACTAAATGGCAACGCGACAGTGTTCTGTGGCCGGTTCTGGACCTAATTAATATGCCCACATATTAGCCTTAGAAAGGTAACCTTTCGGCTTCCAAAATCTAATCTGAGTAGCTTAAAAACAGCTTGAACAGAAGGTAACCTTAAACACAACACCCCACTAGGATCTGCACGCAGGCATTTTTGTTTTGGCGATCTTTCCTGCTCTTTCAAGGATTATGGGGATTTTGCAAATCGTGCTTTATTTAGTATTTCTCTGTAACTCCTTGTAAAGGAGAAGAATGATACATTTAGTGATAGAGAGGGCTCAAATACTGGAAGAGGGAAAGGTTCAAGGTCTTAAAGAAAGAGCAGTTAAGTGCCCTTGCCTGGGCATATCTCCCACTGAATTCCGTATCACAAGAACCACTGATTTTTACATTTTTCATATTACAATATCTGATTTTCATACTATTTCTATTAGCACCTTTGAACTTAGTTGAAAACATTAGCAGGGCACTAGAAATAGAGCGGTCAATTTCCTAAGGAACAGGTCAGCTACAGTGTCTAAGCAACCGTGGAATTAAACCTCACGTTTCCGAGTTGCATTCAAAGAACAATTAAAACTCACTTTTACTTGTTTGACATGTTTTATACTTTGAAGACTTCAGAGATCAGTGTGACTTGATGTGAACATTTATTTCTCCCCACTAGAATATAATCTCCATGAAGGAAGAGATTTTACTCAGTTGATTCACTGCTGTATCCTCAGGACTCAGCATCCCACTGAATGTTTAAGAGCTCAGTAAATTAAAGAGTCGGGAACAGTTAGAAACCATTAAGAATATGAAAAAAAAATAGTTGCACTTAAACTTAATGCAGCTATCTATCCCTGAGTGCTTCTTACCTGGTTGAAATTAAAATCTAGGCTTAGTGCTTGAAACGTAGATTTACTGGTTGTTATTTTTTTAATGTTTACTTATTTTTTGAGAGATAGTGTGAGCAGGGGAGGGGCAGAGAGAGAGGGAGACGCAGAATTTGAAGCAGACTCCAGGCTCTGAGCTACCAACACAGAGCCTGATGTGGGGCTCGAACTCACAAAGTGTGAGATCATGACCTGATGCTCAACTGACTGAGCCACTCAAGCGCCCCTGTGTGGTTGTTATGAAATTGGTCCACCTGGATTGCATTCCTGCTTTTCACAGAAAGAGGATGCCTTTCAATGATATCAACTTAGCTTTCATATGCTCAGCACTTTTCAAGCATATATATGTAGGGCAGGGGTGAAAATGGGAATAAGTAGTGTTTTTGTATGTGTGCATGCATACGTGTGATGTGTGTGTGTGTGTCTCTGCACTTGTCTAAATATTGTCTCACCTCTCCACCTGCAAGCTAAGTTCTTAATGCTTTCAGAGGTAGGGTCCGATATGCATAGTGTCCTCTATACTTTTGGTCAGTAGGGGGAGCTGTCACCTGTCACTGCAGCATGACTTTGTAGGTTCATTTCGCATGAGGACCTGTACCTCAGCGGTAACGTTTACCAAAATAAAAACTGTAGATTTTGATAGGAAAATATGTCAATTGGCCAATCACACAAATTGAGATTTATGAATGAGTAACAAAGACACTTTATAGTACACATTACAATTTTTTAACCGCAAGTTCAGTTACAATACTAGGTAATAAATGGGATCAATGGTAAATCATTAGCATTTATGGACCACAGATTTACTATGACATAAAATGTGTATCATTGTTTACCTTCTCTTCTTTTCTCATAAAGTCCATGTGCTTGGTTATTTGTTGGTATTCATGTTGTATGCGGTATATAACCTTATTATCTGCAGAAATTTGGAGAAAAATAGAAAAATTAAAAAGTACAAGTCTATATGACATAAGACTGACTTTTCAAAATGTGACATGTCGTTTTCAGTATTTATCTCAAAAATATTTATCATCTACTATGTATAGGCTCTTATTAGACATTAGATTACTTAATTCTCAAGAATCATGTTCACCCTCAGTTTTATTAATCAAATCTACAGGCGAGGGAATCACCACTCAGAGAAGGTTGGAGACTTCTTAAGGCTCACATGACTAAGAAGTGGTTAATCTGACATTTCAGCCTTAATCTTTCACCTGTTGTTCCCATGTAATTCTATCTTCTCCTGAATTACTCCCCTAGTCAGCTTTTTGCCCTGTCTCCGGTATGTCAAGTATATGGGATTATTCTCTCTTCAGATAGAAGTTTCTTCTTCCTCATTCCCATGCTCTTCACTTGAGAACAAAATCTCGCTTAATTTCACCATACGCTAAAGGCACTAATGTCACTCAAAGAACTTGTGATCTTTATGTTAAGGAGTCTAAGGAGAGCCTGCTCTTCTGTTTTGCTCTGGCTGGCCTGGTCTACTGCAGAATGTTCTGGGAACCTGAGGGGGTCAGTGGTCTTGTCACCCAACTAGAATATTGGGAAACTGACAGAGGCTGAGACTCATCAAGAAGCTGAGTAGGGAACAATAAGCCAAATTTATCTACACTGTGACTTTGTTAATGATACTGATTCCGCATTTACTGCAACATCTAACACAAAATACCTTATGATTGCATTTTGGGGCATAAGGAAAGATGATCTTGATCCAGACCCAAGCTAAGGTGGGTCCTGTTTATCAATACTCTGTTATCAAAATGAAAGTTGAATGATTAAGTAATTTCATTTAATTTTTAGAAATTGCACATGAGATTCATTTTAATAAGAAACATGAACCAGAAGCATAAGCTCTGTTTAAATGAAGTTATGATTCATAAGATTTTCATGTGTTTTTATAGTTATTTGAGAAAGACATTATTTCTTAATGAACTTGCCCTAAAGATACTCTATATTGGCAACTTTTACACTTTGATTTTGCTTATTATAGGTGGGTTCTTGTCTTTATTTAAACATGCCATGTCCAATTTTTTACCATGTTGATTTTGTTCCACAACTCTTACTTAATCTGACCCCTGTCATGTCCAACAGGTGGAATGACTAGTTCCTTGAAAATAGTTAAATATCATTACATTAATTCTATTATTTATTTAAAACTGCAAAAATGTCTCTAACCACCCTTCCCTCTGGCCCTCCCCATGACTGGATTGTTAGTCTGTCCTTAAAGGACTTGGGGTGTGGGGCAACTGAGTCGTTCAGTAGGTTAAGAATGCAACTCTTAGTTTTGGCGCAGGTCATTATCTCAGGGTTCATGAGTTTGAGCCCTGTGGCAGGCTCTGTGCGGACAGTGGGGAGCCTTCTTGGGATTCCCTCTCTCTGCCCCTCCCCTGCTTGCATGTATGCTCTATCTCTAAATAAATAAATAAATTTAAAAAAAACATAAAGGACTGTGTGTGTAATACAGAGTGGACAGGAATGTGACACTGGGAATTGGGATCTAATCTAACAAATTACGTCAATAATGCTTTGAGATCTTGGGTGAGGCTTCAATTTAGATTAGACGATTCCTAATTAACAGTGCAGCACACTGTTTAAGGTCACATTGCTCAGAGGCAGCTGGTTCAAGTTCAAATCCTAGCTCCTACACTTACTAGCTGTGTAACCTTAGGCAGGTTGCTTACAGCTTCTGTTTCCTCATCTATCAAATGTGAATAAAAATAGCACCTAATTCACAAGGTTGACATGTTTAAATGAATTTGTATGAGTAAGGCACCTAAAATTTGGCCTGGTACAAAATAAGAACTGTATTTGTACCTGCCATTTTTATCCAATTTGAATAAAATATTTAGAAATTTGTAAAATTCTGAGGAGCTCAGACATTCTTTGAGTGCTGTTACATGTTGGGTGTCATACCAGATTCAAGGACTATATCCATGAACAAAACAAAATTCCTGCCTCAAGTTTTCACTTATACCAATATGTTATAATTATAGTCTCCCTCAAATTTCAGCTTATGAAAAAAAAATTACTTGCTAGTTCAAGGTCTTCACTTCATAATCTTAGTTACTAATATGTCTAGTTGCAGAAGCTGGTTACATCTCTTAACCCAATGCTCTTTAACTCAATTCATACTATTTTTAAGTTCAATGTCAAGGGCTTAGTTAATGCATGTTTCCTGTGTTGTAAAAAATTGATTATGTCTCATGATGTCTTCTATTCCTTACTTTTTTTTGTAATTTATATTCTGCCACTACCTCAAAAATTATGTGATACACCTTTGAATACAGTCTTAAATTCCAGTGAAACATACACTTTTTTATTTTTTTAATATATTTTTTTATTTTGTATCCAACAACACTGCGAAATACATTTACAAATCATAATAAGTGGCCGTAGTTAAGGGGGGAAATTTCAATGTACATGATCATGTCAACTGAACTTTATAATATTTTGTTTCTTCCTTTGCAATTTATATGCCTTTCATTTATTTATTTGGGATCTCGGACAATCTGCATAACAGTGGTGATAGTGGACAATCTTGTTCTGTGTCTTACTCTTTCCAGGAAAAGTTTCCATATTTTACTAATGTCTGCTTACTGTAGTGTTTCCTTACATAAACTTTATTATATTAAATAACCTCTCTTCTACTTTGTTGGGAGGTTTAGTGTGTCATGGATGTATGCAAAAGTTCATAACATTATATCTGCATCAATTTATGATAACTTTTCTCTTCCATTTTGTTAATTTAGTGAATTACATTATTATGTCAGATTCCTGGAATAACCCCAACTGGTTATAAAAAGGAGAGATATTATCCTTTTTATATCTCTGTATTCAATTTGCCTGTACTTTGGTTGGTATTTTTGCATACATATTCAGAAAAGAGATGGGTCTATACTCATTTCAGGCAGTCTTTTTTCTTGGATTTTAATATCAAAATTAGAATAGATAATATTCTATTATTATAAAATGAATTGGGACATATATCTTGTTTTTCTAATCCATGGAAGAGTTTTGGTAAATTATTGCCCACTATCTCCTCAAATATTGTAGCACCCCCTCCCTCTTCTCTGCAACTCTTATTTCACATATGTTAGACCTCTTCACCATGTCACTTATGTGTGTTTTCTACACATTTAAAAAATATTTTCCATCCATTTTTTCCCCCTTGGGACATTTTTGTTTGGCCTGTCTCCCAGTTCCTGTCTCCTTTCTTCATTTGTAAAAAATCTGTTATTAAACTTCTATTGATTTCTTAATGTTAGCTATTTTTTTCTGTTCCAAGATAGTCTTTTGATTTTTTTCTAGTTTCTAGTATTCTATTTAAAATCTCTGCCATGTAATTTCTTAGACTATTATTCTTACCTCTTTTAAATTTCAGCATCCAAAACTTCTGACTTTCTATTGTATGTTTTTTTCTTTTGGCTTTTAGTTATTTAGTCTTGTATCCTAGCATATCTGATTATTAAAGACTGGAAATTTAGTATGAAATACTTAGGTGACAATTTAAGTCTTTTGATGATATTATCTCCTCCTGGATTTATTTTGCTTTTGGCAGGCAATTAGGGTAGGAAATGTCCACCTCATTCCAATCAAAGATTGACATGATTTAAAGTTGTGCTTTGGCCTCCATGATCTCTTTCCAGTTCACCTCCATTCCTCAGAAATTGCTCTTGGAAAGAAGAATTCAAGCTAACAGGCAGGGCAGTTTACCAGAGTTCTCTTTCTTAAGAGCCCTCAGACTGTATCTCATCACTCTTCTCCACCAGCCCCATAAGACAAGCAGATAAACTACCTACTTGGTATCTTGGCCTCTCCACTGCTGCTTGTGAATCAGCAAAGAGGCACTGAATGTATCTGTCCTCTCTTCTCTCCAAGGTCTTGGCCCTCATTTTCCTGATATTTATCTGGTTCCTTCAAAGACCCTTCTTTTTCTCAGAAGTTGTCCATACTCCTCTATCCCACCTTAATGTCTCTGTAAGTATGTGGATGTCTTTTCCTGCTCACTTCAGGTTGTCATTTAGGTAATCCACCCCATTTAGAGTGCCCTTTTCCAAAACATTAGTCTAAACTTGCAATTGATAATTTATATCTGTGAGCCTCTCACCATTAGGAATGTAGAAGATAGGGACGCCTGGGTGGCTTAGTCGGTTAAGCGTCCGACTTTCGCTTAGGTCATGATCTTGTGTTCGTGGGTTCGAGCCCCGCGCGGGCTCTGTGCTGACTGCCAGCTCAGAGCCTAGTGCCTGTTTCAGAGTCTGTGTCTCCTTCTCTCTCTGACCCTCCCCTGCTCACGCTGTCTCTCTGTCTCTCTCTCTCTCCTAGAAATAAATAAAACATCAAAAAAATTTTTAAAAAAAGGAATCTAGAAGATAATTCACAAGAAACATGACACTAGGGAGAGAGTAAGGGAAGAGAGATTTGTTTTGTCTTATAACTTTCCCTTTCATTTGAATGTATGAATGAAAATTCCTATTACTAGATTTTAAAAAATAAGACAATTTTTAGCATTTATTTTTATTCCATCATTCACATGTAAGACTGTGAAAGCACCGTTATGATAGCTTAAAATGCTGAAATCTTGTAAACATTTCGCCCTCATAAATATTTTTTTTCTTTTACTGAAGTATCTCTAAACATCTCTGCCCAGAGAAGTAGAATTATTACTTATTGCTATGAATCAACTGTCTTTTGTACAATGAGCTTTTGTTCACCTAACATCCTACTGTAAACATTTTTCTTTATTGATTCATGCTCCACACATTTTAATTCAAAATTTTTCTATTATAAATAAGGTATATACACATATACCTATTTACCTTTTTTATGATTTTCTTTGATATATTCTAAAATTTGAGAAGCAAATAATAATAAAACAATAATAATAATAGTTAAACAAATAGGCTTTGAAGTATTTAAAACCTGTGCCCCATTCCTAGCTCTATAACACTCATTCAGTTTGACCTCAGGCAAATGATTATTCCTTTCAAGGCACATTTTCCCCATTTGTAAATTGGTGAAAGCAATACCTACTGACTGCTTAAAGTTGGTCTGAGGATTAACTGGGTTAATGTAAAATTAAGCATATACATACATATATATGGAACGTTTTGGAAGTTATGGGCATGTTTATGGCATAGATTGTAGTAACTTTCATAGGTGTATGCTTATCCCCAAAGTCATCGAGTCGTATGCATTAACTATATACCATTTTTTGTATGCTGATCATACCTCAGTAAAGTAGTTACAAATTTTTTTAAATAAAATCCCTTTGTCACCAGATATTTATTAAACCATTCATTAAGAAGTAGCTATTATTATTATTATTATCATTATCATTATCAAAGATAGAATATGTTCATTTTTTTGAAAACAGATGTTTTGTTAACTAATGTCAATACAATACCTCTTTGTATGTGATTTATTCCTATTCTTATCATCTTTAGATTATATCAATATTGCCATCTTTAGATTTTATCAACATGGCACCAAAAGCTGTTACTCGAATACCCTCTGTAAGATAAAGAAATTGAGAACATTCTTTATTGTGCTAGAACTAGTATAGAGAATAGGCTATTTGTATGTTATTAATCTTGCTTTGGGGTGTGTTTTATCAAACTCGTTCTACAAGTTAACATAAATATTTGCATGTTGTGTAATAAAAATACCTTTTCCACAGTTGTAGTCTTTTCTTTCCATTCGACGAGCCACCTGAAAAAACTGAGCTTTCTGTTGATGCCAAATCTCTTCACCCAGGGTACTCCCAGTTCTTCCACTTCAAAAGAGACAAGTGCACTCAGGTGAAAAACATTCATGGGAAGGTATCTGGACGTGATCAAGGTGTAACTTCAAACCAATGCTAAATGAGAGATGTGGTAATAAGTCCCAAACAGTAATGAAGACAAAAATACATACTCCTGCAATGAACTCTCCTCTATGGCTCAAGATGTTAATGTCTCACATGAAAGATGCTCATATCCACTGAGCAGGGACAGACTAAAGCAATTCTACCAGAACAGTGCATAGAAAAAGAAACGCTTTTGCATTTAATCTATTGCATTATTTCAAACATGCCTGAAAGCACATTTAGTGCGTGGCATGGGCTATGTTGACTTCACTCTGTTTATTGGAAATTCCTCAAGCTTTCAGATCTCTATCATCCAGGTGGAAATACAAAAAGCTTGAGGCATGATCCACATTAAGCTCAATATGTGCCTAGAGAACTTTGAGCTTTTTTTTCTCTCTGTTGTTAAATATCTTAGAATTATAAAATACACTAGTTACTTCATGTTGCCAGTAATGTTCTTGATGATACAACTTTCCCCTCTGTTCATTCTCTAAGATGCACTCATTCTGAGAATCAAAGAGCCTGATTTTTTAGTGGCACAAATATAAGCCAATTGCTTATTACAGTATTGTTTTGTGAAAAGATTTCTATTTGGGGAAGAGAGTGGTTAAAAGGGAGAGGTCATACCTCGGGGCCCAGATATACTCTTGTTCCCCAACTCTGGCTTCCACCCAGCATTATCGAGGCTAATTGGCAATATCTGAATAGTGAGAATATTGACAGGTAAGTCATAAGCAGTCAAAAACACTGCTCTCTCTGGTATATCCCTGGAAATAAAACTTGATGTATATAATATTGAACTACATGGAAGCCTTTCTACTATCTTCTCGAGGCCATTCTACATTCTCTGCACCCTCTTTCTTTGCCATAAGCAGTAAGGATCAAGCTAGTTTTACTCTCATCTCAAGGACCTGTCACTTTAAAGTGTCAGAGACAGTCTTCAATCATGAGAGAAAGGTAAGGGAAGTAACAACTGCCAACAGAGACCCATTTTCAGGTCTCTTGTTAGGTAAGACAATTACCTCTCTATTGCTAAGCTCCTGTGTGGCAAATTTTATCTTCCTCCTATGTGGAAGTGGTCCTCATTGAAACTCACCTCCTGATCCCAGCATGTTATTTTTACGGTTTTCCTTAATGATTGACCATGTTGATCCATCACCATTTGGTGTTGTCTTATCAGCTTGGCATAGGGCAATGATGTCTTCTCAACCATATTTTTATACAAAATTAAAATATCTTGTTAAAAGTTACAACAGCTGGTAAAGCTGATCACTTTTTGACCTGTTTCAGCATTTTATTACTTTCAGAAAAGTCATTTCTTATGGACAGCAAGAGAGAGTCTTTCATCTTTACTGAATTCTCTCCAGAAGACGACTTCCATTCACAACATATAACCCAACATTAAAAACCCTCTTTGCCTACCAGGACATCTGTGTGGCTCAGTTGGTTAAGCGTCTGACTCTTGATTCTGGCTCACGGCATGATCTCACAGTTCATGGGTTCGAGCCCCATGTTAGGCTCCAGACTGAGAGTGTGGTGCCTGCTTAGGATTCTCTCTCTCTCTCTCTCTCTCTCTCTCTCTCTGCCCTTCTCACTTCTCTGCCCCTCACTCACTGGCACATACACTCTATCTTTCAAAATAAATAAACTTAAAAAAAAAATCCTCTTTGCCTCCCATTCATTTGCTGCAGAGACCTACACATCATGGTACACAACTTAGTCCCAATCTTCTCCCTTTGCTTCTAAACACCTATCTTTTCTTTCAGCCCAGCCCAAACTCTAGTTCTCTTGTGCCTGTCATTTTTATCCTTCCTTTTCTACAAATAACTCCTGGTCCTGAGCAGTGAGAAGTAGTTGAGGTGGGTTTCAACGTACTATTCTTACTGCTTTGTTTCTCATTCATAATTCCAGGTTGCACAATGGAGCCCCAGATTATGGAGACAAAGAAAAAAAAATCCCCCTGGGATTTGAGAAATGTAAGAGATGCTGAATATTCACCTGTCATTTTTTCCCTGTACCATCACAAAGGTAAGATGTTCAAAAGTCTAATATGTTTAAAAGCAATTATGAAAGAAATATAAACAAGGAGAGAAGTATTTTATTGTCATCACTTTGTAACATGACTATTTTCCACATTCTTCTATAAAATAGATCTTTAAGTCTTCTCTCTTACGTTGCTTTGGGTATTGAAAATTCTTAGGTTTCTAATAGTCCTATACATTTAAGTAGCACTCTTCTATTGGCTTAAAAAGGAAAGCATTTGGCAATTTAGTAATTCTCTCTGTTAATCTATGCTTAGCTATATAGCTAACCGTCCATTGAATGAGGGGGAAAAGTGGCTTTCTTAGTCATAAACCAGAGTTCATACATCTTGACTGAAACCAAAGCATCCAAAACTCAAAGAAAAATTATAAATGATTTCTCTGACCACACATTTCCAAATCATGAGGTTTGGCTATCCCATAGGCAAGGATTTCTGTCACCCATTAAGCAATTCCAAACTATGTGTAATTTATGTTTAAGCTAAAATCTGCAGTTATTAGAAATCATTTTATAACCTTACTTGTCTTAGGAATATCTAACATGAATTGTTTCCAATCTTAGAGAGGGTCAGGCCCTTTCTACTTCTGAATACATGAAAACACATCTAAAGCTAATATATTAAAAAATTAGCAATTTTTATATAAGGAGTGAGATTAGGTGTCCAGTTCTATAATCTACATCATGCTCAGTTACAAAATATACTTGAACTTATTTTTGATGTGTCAGAAAAGGCAATAAGAAGACTTATTTGAATAAAAAGCCCTGAGTGTTTCATAACTCAGTGTTTTTATGCTTCTCTATGAGAAAATGGCCACTCAGATCTTCTGTGAAAACATCTACTGGGCATCATTTAAAAACAATGTTACCCAGATTCTTATGGATTCTGAAGGGACTGTGGGGAAAAATGATTAGGGGTAAGATAAAGTCTGTTCTTGGGAGAACGAGTCCTTCCATTGTATTTAAAATACATGGCTGCTTCTAAACTGGATAGACTCATGTCTAGTCCCATTACATTATCCCTGTTCATGTGACTTTGAGTTGTAACACTCCTATGTCAACAACAGTAGGAGTCTAGAAAACACTTCCACAGAACCCCATCCAGTGGAAGACTTGGTTCTGAAGTGTTCATCTCCCCTGGGGCCTCAGTAAAGATCGGCTGGGTTATGTTGTGGAAATAAACTCCAAATCTCAGGAGTCAGCATGTACAGCCTTACTCCTCTCTTGCCCACGCAAAGCCATCTATGGGTCTGATAGTTGCCTAGAGTAGTTCCCTTCAAGTTACCTGAAAAAAATTCAAGTTCTTAAAAAACTTTTTTTTTTGTAGTTCTTCCATTTGGAACTGCAGTCACATGGCAGAGGGAGAAAAAGCTTGAAGAACCCCATACTGGCTCTCACCCCCAAGGCTTCATTGCTTCATTACAGAGGTGACACACCATTTCTGCTCACAGCCCACTGTCCCAAAGGAGCCTACGTGGAGACTGGGATATGTAGGAAAGCACATGCAATTTTTGACACATTCTATGGTCTGTGCCTCAGTACACATGCCACTTTGAGCCTCCCTCCACAGTGAAAGGTCCGGACAATCTCCAGCTCTCTTCTTTTCCTGACCCAGCCACCCGGGAAACCAAAGATTTTCAATAGTAGAGCTATAAGACAGCAAAAGCCTAAATTTCTGTGGGATCACTGGAAGCTCACTTCTCTAGCAAGGTATCAGACTTGGATGAACAAGAAATCAACTACTAGATATTAAGCTGGTGAGTTTTCGTGGGTCATTTTTTCCCCTTATTAATACCATATTTATTTGTCTTCCCTCTGTCAAACCCTGAGCCAACCACTTTCCCCAGGCTGCCTGGGAACATACCGGGCAGACGAGACATGGGAGAAAGACCCAGGGAGGTGGAGATGCCTCTGACGTGACACAGAGGATGAGAAAGGCCACCATCAGGCAAAAGAGCCCCATGGTCACCAAGAGGGCAAAGCCCAGAATGGTATAGGAGAAGACCTGTTGCTTCAGAGAGGGGATCCTGCCATAACCAATGAGGAGGCTCCCAAACGGAGTCCCAATTCTAGCCCCAGAGCCAGCCACACCTACCGTGGCAGCCCCAGCCCCAGTGAGCTTGGCTGCTGTGTCCGTATCCCTTACAATGGTGCTGGTTGGGAAGCTGTGGCTGGGAATAAGTGAGGTCAGGAGATTGGGGTCTGCCAGGCTGCCGAGTCTCTCATCGGTCAGTGTGTCTGGTGGTGTTAGCACCACTGCACAAAGCGATCCGCTCAGGAGAGGTGCTCCTGACGAAGAAGGGGGTGGAGACAAACTTTGCACAGGTGTACATTTTCTGTGCAGAGAAGACACAGAAGGGTTCAGGGGTCATTTTGGTACTACGACATAGCCTCCCTTATCCCAAACAATACAATTAGATTGCAAATGTCTTCTGTCTTCCTTGACCAATCCCGATCACCAATTTTGCTATAAATTCTATCTTTGAATCACTCCCTCGGTTTTGTCAAAAACTATCGCTACAGCCTTGTCCCTGCACTGATTCTCAGCTTTGTCCTGGCGCTTCTGGGATCAATGGTCTCTGATGTTTTGATTTGTATGTAGGAATATGTTTTTTGCCTTGTTTTGTTTTGTTTTGTTTGCTCAAGTGAAGCAAGAAAACATTCTACAGGCAACTCTAAATAAAAATGCGGCAGTATAATTAGATCTCGTCAAAACTTTTCATGCTAGATAAATAGGACAACCTGGGAAAGTTGATGCCTGATTAATTTAGATCATTTGATTTCTCTAGAATTATTGCTGTTCGTGAGATGAGAGCTCATGAATGGAAATTTTTAGGAAGGTAATATATATAAATCAATAGCTTTGAAGGTATGCTAAACTAGCCGAGATTCCCCTTTTTATAACGAGCATTAAATTTCAGATTCATGTACATTTCGGATTAGTTTCATTGTACTACTCAATTAATCATAGCTTACCCTGTCCATATTCTTCATTGGTTTTAATACCTTTAGTCACACAGGGTGGATCAGCTTGCGTTTCATCAGGAACATTTCCAGCCAGGGGGCATCAGGGACAATGACTACCTATGTCACGACTCTAAAGACAGTCCTTTTTAGGTAATCTTCAGCATCTTAAGAGATTCACTGGATTTCTTGGAATCATCAAGATTCTATCAATAGATTAATTTTTTGTTATGTGTAAATAAAACCAGATGCCTAAGTTTGGAACTTTTCCAGAAATTGCCAGCCTGATTTTAACCTTGTTTTAAATATTTGCATGATATTTAATAAATAGGTATCAAGGTCCTACTTTGTTCAAATCATTTTGTCAGGCCTTTTGAGAGATGGGATGGGTAAGGTAATAACTTAGACCTTTCCCTTCGTGTTCTCATATTATTTTTAAAAATATAGTTTTCTTTTTTCTCTCTGTTTTGTTCTTGTTTTGTGTTCCATTTTTTATCACTTTATTTGTTAACTGCATTTAAACACAGAGTTTTGAGAGCACATTCTTTAAAGCCAGTAAGATCGTAGAAAATATGTCACAAGGAAGGAAAATTTTAAGGTAACATAATCCTTATTCAATTGAATCTATAGGTTTTACAATATGTGTAGTCACTAGGATACCATATATGAAATAGTATTTCCTTTCTCACATTTTCACAATGAGTCAATCATGTCATATAATCTTTCCCTTAGTCTCTGGTTACAGGCCAGGGCGGGGGTGCCTTGTCTTTCTCACTCTGGACACTACTTAAGCTTTCAAGCAGCACCTTTGTATGATGACTGACTCAGGACAGCCTGGGGGATAGAGGGTTATATAGTCTAAAACCATATCCTGGTTAAGTCCTCATTTGAATCATTCCACTTATTGGTTTTCTGAGATAGGTGAATAGGAAAATATTTTTCCAGAATCTACTCAACCAAATAATGTGAGACTCATGGTCTTGCTAACATCAGAGTGGATTTTCAAACACTTCCCCATATTAAATCAAAATTGCACATCAGATTTTCACTTTCATGTAACTGAACCCAGAGATAATGTTTGTGAGGTGTAACACATTCAAATTCATCACTGAGTATTTATTTAATAGTCTGATAAAATTGTTAGATCGTTATTACACCAAAATGCATCAACAATATTTTTACATGTATTATAAGATTCCATGTCCTTAACATTCCTTTATTATACCTCACTTTCTCTTCAAGAACCTATTTATTTCAAGTGGAGTTATGTATTTAAAAAATTAATAAATTCTGACAAGATCTCATGAAATTATAGGTGGGGCAGAAATATAATAATTAAGGTCAAATAAACAACTATCTTTAGAAAAAAGATTATTCTTTTCAACAGTTGAAAAATATACCAAATAGAAATATTTTTCGTTAGTGAAAAGAACATTAAGCTTCATTGGCTCTGATTTTGTGTGAATAGCATATCAGCCAGTATTCCAGCAGAATAAGAGCAACATAATCAAACTGGATAGTTAATGAGATTTTAATAGAGAAGACCTTTTTTTTTTTTTTTTTTTTTAAGATATAAGGTGGGGCACTTGGGTGGCTCAGTGGGTTAAACATCTGACTTTGACTCCGGTCATGATCTCACGGTTCATGGGTTCGAGCCCTGCATCAGGCTCTATGCTGACAGCTCTGAGCCTGGAGCCTCCTTCAAATGCTGTGTTTCCATCTGTCTCTGCCCCTTCCCCACTTGTGCTCTTTCTCTCTCATAAATAAATGTTAAAAATATTTTTTAAAAAAAGTATAAGGTGAGGCTTTAGGAAGACAGTGAGGGATAGTGCTGCTTTCTGGGACTACTAACAACACGGAGCTATTTTTCCCCCTAGATCAGAGGGACAGGGGAGAGAATAGTTATGAGAAAGCAGACAGAACAGCTACATAGAGTAGACCATTCAACAATGACTTCCACATTTCCTGATAGCATTTTCCTTTGATCAAACTCCAGAGGAGGCTAGAAGGAAAGGGAACCATTGAGGAAGCCCCTGGGTACCAATTTCCCGGAACACAGAGCAGGATGAAAAACGGTGGAGTGTCAATCTGGGGAAGGAGGCAGAAGATACATATCTAGCACCACTAGTGCATAGTTTTTAAAAATAAGTTTAAATGGCAGCCTTGCTTTTCGGGTAAGCTGGACTCCATCTGTCCCTCTTGTCATCAAGTTTTTTATTTTGTCCCTAGGAAAAAAAGAAACACATTTTCATAGTTGGCAGGAGGCCCTTAAGGAATAAAATAAAACAGAGAAGGGGCGATACAGTGTTTATCTCTTTAGGGCTTGTTGGATTAATCTTGAGATACTATGGAGGAGTCCGTGAGATAGACTGAGAAACCATGGGAATACTAAGACTTTGTAGAGCCCAGGGGACAAAATGAAGAGTTGAGATAGGTTATTTTCCCCATGTTTGCATGAAATACAAGAATGTTCTGGCAATCCCGAGATTGGAAGATCCTGAAACATGTGGAACGAATACTCTGGGCACTACTATTGAACTCATGGAAAAGTGACAATGGTAAGGCTTTTCCAAATGGTTTCATGGGCAGTGGGAAGCCCACAAATGAGGGTTGGTGGGAAAAAAAAGACCAGTGCAGACGTGCTGGTGTGCTGGTAATGGTTAACAACCAGCTCTCCATGATTGAGAAAAAGGCACGGCTTGTAGTCCATAACCCCATAGCCAATGTCAAGCTCCTATCATAAATACACTGAGAAGGGATTTGGGGAGAGAGATAAGCCCAGTTGACTCTGTGGGACCACACCCTGGCACAGCACTGGTCATCCATGTCCTGATTGGAGCTGAAAACTGACTTAAGGTGCATATGAGACATGTTAGGTGGTCTTATACTTCCATAGTTGTTATAGTCCACCAATCCAGTGGATGGACTGTCGTCATCATGATTTTGGATTAGGAAGAAAGGATTTCCTACTTTTAGGAATAGTGGAACACTTCTAGTATTCTTTTCCCTATGTCTGAGGTCAGTGAAATCTGAGGCATGTCATAATTATAAAAATTCCTGAAGGCATGCTGACGACCTTTGTGTGTGGGACAAAGAGGAATATGAGTAGGGTGAAGCGATGCTGTGTCTAACATGAAGTCATGTGGGTACTGTTCATGCATTTCCTTTGGTGCTGTGCAAGTACCAGTTTTTCTTCCAGTTTGACAGGGTTATTTCCCTTTCAAGCCTGCTTTAGTGACTCTCTCTTCCTGACTTAACATCATTATTTCCTGGACTGAGGATTATCCCAAGGTACCATGTGAGTATTCATGCCTGCTTTGACTCAGCAGTGACTTCTGAATTTGCATGGGTGAAGCAACACGAATTACTCGAGTCCCGTCTTCTATTTCCTGGCCCTGCCGTTCCCCACTTCACACTGACTCTTGCCTGCCTTTGAACTCCCTCAAATGAGCTCCAGGTACAGCCACACCTTCTTGTTTCTGCCCCCTGGCAGGTTCTTGGAAGTTGCTGGTAGTCGGGCTCATGGTGTAAGTTATGATACATTCTACCGAGAAACTAGATTGCTGCCAATACTAAAACAGGATTATCTATTTAAAAAGTTCAATGTAGGGGCGCCTGGGTGGCTTAGTCGGTTGAGCGTCCGACTTTCGCTCAGGTCATGATCTCGCGGTTCGTGGGTTCGAGCCCCGCGTTGGGCTCTGTGCTGACTGCCAGCTCAGAGCCTGGAGCCTATTTCAGTCTGTGACTCCCTCCCTCTCTGACCCTCCCCTGCTCACGCTGTCTCTCTCTCTCTCTCTCTCTCTCCTAGAAAAAAAAAAAAAAAAACATTAAAAAAAATTTAAAAAGTTCAATGTAGGCAAAATGTGTCTTCTTCACCATTTGGTGTCCACCTTCAGTGCCCTTTCACTTTTCCTTGTCTCTTGCATGTTCTGTAATCTAGCAAGCAATTTTATTAAGCAAGTAGGTGTCTCTTGAAACCTAAACTGACCTAAAGCCATTAAGAAGACTGAGAAAATCAACCCCTAGTGGCTTTCTACTGGTAAGATATTGAGGGTTGAAAGACATTTTGGAACAGGGTGGCCTCCATTGTTCTCCAGAAATCATATCGCAAATTTTAAGTCAGCATCTCTCTGGTTAAGAAACCAGCTTGTAGTAAAATATTATTCATACTTGATGTTTAACCTGCTGGTTAAACATATAACCTTCTGGCCCGAAGAATTGGAAAGTTAATTCATTCATTTAACTAACAAATATTTATTCAGTGTGGATACTTTAGGAATGAAAATATGAACCAGATATGGATTCTTCCCTCAAGGACCTACACTCTACTAGGAGAGATAAAGCAGCTACACAAATAACAATGGTAGAA